TTGATGACTACACCTTGGCCTCACACCTTGTTCTCAGCATCCTACCAGAACTGAAATCCTCGATTTGATTACACAACACGTTAGTTGAAGAAGGATTCGACTACAATAAGTTCAAAGAACATTGTGAGATCCTATACGACGATTTAATCATTAAGAGAGTCTTGGTCAAACGTACTGCGACCACTTCGGCATACAGATCCACACCCTCAACCGCACCTCATTTCACCAAACAAACAGACCCGGTGCACCTCGACGACGATGCAGCAAAACAAGCATTTATCTGGAAAATCAAAGCATATCTTGATTCAGCAGGATTGTGCCACTATTGCAAGAAGCAATGTGGAAGCGAGCACAAGCAATGCACGGGTACGATGTCGAAAGAACGAATCATCTTCCCAACCGGTTTCAAAGCGCCACCTAAACCAACCAACTACGTACCACCTCGGGCGAAGCTAGCACCATCTACTGCAGGCAAACCAACACATGCACCAGCTGGTCGCCCGGTCAGAAACTCCGTAGCGGCAATTGATTTCCCCGAATATGATGCGACTACGGTAGCAGCATTTGAGGAGATTGATCGTGAACTCAAGGAGATTGAAGCATTAGGTGCTGATGAGATAGTACAACCCGGAGAAGAAGGGTATGTGGACCAACCCATATCTCAACCGGTGGTTATACTACAACTAACCTGTAATGGACTCCCAATCCGTGCACTGGCCGATGCAGGTTCTGAAACAAATCTCATTTTGGAGAAGATGGTTGACTCATTAGGATTGAAACGAAGAAAGCTGGTGCGACCAACGATCGTAGGACTCGCTCTCAATGCCGACAGTCAACCTCCCATGCTCACAGAATTCACGACAGCTACCCTCAAACATCCCCTATCCAATTCTTGTTTTGATTTCACTTACATGAAGATTGGGCAACTCAGTTCCTCTTATGATATCATTCTGGGCGCGCCTTTCCTCTCTCGTCATGAATTAGCTGTATCCTGTTCAAAGAAAGCTGTTATTAGCAAAAGATCAAATGCTACGCTTTATGATTACAGACATGAAATGAAGTTGAAAGACAGTGTTGAAGAATCGAAACAAACACTGATTGCTGCATCCAATGAGAGACGTGAGAATAATTGTTGGGAGGAGTGGGAGAGAAACTTGAAAGAAAAGAATGAACCGACTGCCTTGAAAGTGCCTAATGATTGGAGAGACTGGGAGACGCATTACTTCGAAAAGTACCAAGACTTGTTTCCAATTGATATACCAGCAGTCTCAAATGAAGCTGAGGAACAGGGCGAATTCACTGATGGATCCTTCCCCGAGGAGATGCAGGATCAATCCTCCACAGTGAGGCACAAGATTGTATTGACAGACCCGAACACCGTGATTAATGAACGACAGTACCCATACCCGCATCGTCACATGAAAGTGTGGCGAAAACTCTTGGACCAACACATAAATGCAGGAAGACTTCGGAAATCGTCAAGCCAATACGCATCCCCGAGTTTAATTATTCCAAAGAAGGACCCTTTGGAACTTCCAAGGTGGGTATGTGATTACCGCACCTTGAACAGCATGACTGTCAGGGACCGTTCACCGCTCCCTAAGGTGGACGAGTTGGTCAGGCTTGTCTCGACAGGAAAGGTTTTTTCTATATTAGATCAAACAAACGCTTTTTTTCAAACCCGGATGCGTGAAGCAGACATTCCATTAACGGCCGTAAAGACACCATGGGGCTTATATGAATGGTGTGTGATGCCCATGGGACTCACAAATGCTCCAGCAACTCACCAAAGTCGCCTGGAGGAGGCATTAGGAGAACTGATCAACACAATCTGTGTCGTATACTTGGATGATATCGTAGTTTTCTCAGAGTCAGTGGAAGAGCATAAGGAACATTTGATGTTAGTTTTAGAAAGACTCGGGAAAGCAAACCTATATTGTAGCAAAAAGAAGACGAAAATGTTTAGAAGAGAAGTCAAATTTTTAGGACACGTGATTTCACCAAACGGAGTATGTGCAGATGAAGAGAAGATTGAAAAGATTCGTTCGTGGGAGTCACCAAAATCATCAAAAGGGGTTAGGAAGTTCTTAGGTACCGTACAATGGATGAAAAATTTTATCTTTGGGTTGGAAAAGTACGTTGGGAAGCTGACACACTTAACCAGCAGTAAGCTCGACAAGAAACAATTCAAGTGGGGCGAGATGGAAGAGAAAGCATTTCAGAATATTAAAAGAATTATGACAACCTTACCCTGCTTGAAAACTGTAGATTTTGATTCACCAGACCCGTTGTGGCTATTCACGGACGCGAGTGGCACAGGTCTTGGAGCAGCACTTTTCCAAGGAAAGGAATGGAAAAGCGCGAGTCCTATAGCTTACAAATCGAGACAGATGACCACAGCAGAACGAAACTACCCGGTCCACGAACAGGAACTCTTGGCGGTTATCCACGCACTACAAAAATGGAAGATGCTTTTGCTAGGAATGAAGGTGAATGTAATGAGCAACCACCACTCCCTAACCTACCTCATGAAACAACGATCTCTTAGTAGACGACAGGCCCGATGGATAGAACAACTCGCCGATTTCGACTTACAATTTCAGTATGTCAAAGGTGAAGACAACTCGGTTGCCGACGCCTTATCAAGACGAGATGCTGAAGACTTGCAGGTGGGAGTGGAAACAGTGGCAGCCCTAGCACTCTCACAGACTACGCTGTCAGAGGATTTTCCCCAAGAAGTCATCAAGGGCTATGACGAAGACAAATTCTGCGCGACTGTACGAGATGGCGCACCTCTGCGAGATGACTGCTATGTGGACAAGGGCCTTGTTTTCATTGACAGACAACTTCTAATCCCCAACTCGGAAAGCCTCAGACTGAACCTGATCGACAAAGCACACAAACGTGTTGGACACCTTGGCTTTCTAAAGACAGTTTCGACCCTGCGACTAGACTTCTTCTGGCCGCAAATGAGCAAAGAAGTGGAATTTCGCCTCAAGTCCTGCGAAGTGTGTCAGAAAACAAAAGCCCGAACCTCACTACCAAACGGACACATGAGGACACCAAACGTTCTGACAGAGCCTCTATCAAACATTGTGATTGACTTTATCGGACCACTGCCAAAAATCAACAATTATGATATGCTGCTAACCGTCACGTGCCGACTGTCAGGTTTCACTCGTCTCATCCCAACAAATCAGGCAGACACGGCTGAAAAGACTGCATCGAGGTTCTTCGGCGCATGGATGGGTACCTTTGGAGCACCAGATTCAATCATCAGTGACAGAGATAAAGCGTGGGCATCGAAATTCTGGAAAGGATTGGTGGAAAGGCTTAACATTTCATTCCATCGATCATCAGCATACCACCCTCAAGCGGACGGGAGAAGTGAACGGACAAATAAAACTGTCGGACAGGTCCTTCGTACCTTCACAGCAAAACGCCAGACCCGGTGGTTGGAGGCACTGCCCTCAGTAGAATTCGCGATTAATAGTGCGACAAACGTCGCCACCGGCTTATTGCCTTTTCAGGTTGTCTTCGGCAGACCAGCATGATTGTTTCCCACGACCGGGTCCATGGATGACTCCCCAGTAGCGCTCGAGACGTGGCTCCGCCAACGAGAAGAGACCTGGGCTCAGATTCGCGACAACTTATGGACAAGCCGGGTACAACAAGCGGTACAGCACAACAAACGCCACACCGATATCAAGATTGAAGCAAATGATTGGGCTCTGCTAGACTCCGGGGACTGGCGAGGCAGGCACTCAGGGGGGGTGGATAAGCTCAAAGAGCGTTACGAAGGACCATATAAGGTCCTAGAAACCTTCAATGATGGTCAAAGCATCAGACTCGACTTGCCAATTGGGGATAAAAGACACACCGTTTTCAATGTCTCAAAGCTGAAACTTTTCGTGGAGAACGACGGGTTAGGACCCTGTGTCCAAAAGTAAGTTTCTCTCTTAGTATGCACCGCCGGGCTTCTACGCCGTTGTTTTCGAAATCATTACCTTGGCCACTATGTGAGCGTCGAACGGGACCTTTTCCTCCTTTCAACAGACCATCGACTTACGAACATCACAGGCACGACTGGACATCAAAGACCGGATTCCTTTTCTACCTTTTGAGACATGATTTCTCTACCTTCTCTCTTTTTTTTCTTCTGTTTCTTTTTTTTTCTCTTTTGTTCTCTTGACCTTTTTTTTAATTTCAATCAAGGCACCTCTCAATTTTTTTTTCTCAGTTGTTTCTGTTTCTCTTTCCTTTTTTCTTGATTTCTCTCATAACGGCTCTCGCACCTCGGCACTCAAGCCTTTTCTATAGGAGGGGAGAATGTAATGTCGTAGACTCCATTACAAGCATATCATTACCTTAGCCTTATACGTAATCACTCGACCTTTTTCATCTCAACTCGTCTCGTAGATACTACAGCCATTGTAAGATCTATTGGCAGATTTTTAGATCATTGTGTTGTCGCCAGATTTGATGTAGAGGTCAAAAACTCCAAAAAACCCTTTTGAGACTGATAACTTTACTGCCCATTGGTCAGATCTAGCACAAGAACAATTGAGTTAGTCTGAGAGTGACATAATTTTCGAGTTTTTGACTTCAAAAGTTAAATCTGGCGACGACACAACTTTTCAAAAATCTGCCAGTAGATAATACAACGGCTGTAACTCCTCAGGGAATCTAGACGGATCTAAGATTACATCCTTTTGGAGTTAGGTGAGCAAACATACATTTCACTTATTATATTTCCTTCTTTCAATCTAATAATTGTACCCGTTCTCAGGGAATCTAGACTGATCTAAGATTACATCCTTTTGGAGTTAGACCTATAATTAAATTCATACATTGGTTCTAGAAAAATCAGTCGAGACCACGAATAGTGATTCTCAGTTCCCTCAGCCCGCTCCGTTCAATAGATAAAGTTAGAAAGCAGTGAGGACTAAATAGGTCCTTTACAACATACACACAATACTTGTGTGTACATGAGATGATATGAAATATAATACTCAATGTTAGATTCTTACTTGAAGTGTGATGAGCCATAATCCATGTCCCAAGTAAGAGACCCATACAAAAGAGAGAAGGGAAAGGACTATGAAATCCATTGCTGCTGAGCTATTCTGGTCCTAGTAACATGGAAAGTCACAAGTTTTCTGGGTGAACATTTCAACATTATTTTTATTGACTCTGATCATTCAGTCTTCTCTGAAAAATAGTTATGGAATTTGATTGCTATGGATGTTGTTCAGTTTACGCTTATTAGGTTTTTTGTCATTTCAAGGCAAAATGATTTCACATCACTTGTCTGACGATCTTAATAATCAATACCAATGGAGGTGATGTCTTGCTAGTTTCCCTGTCATTCCTTGAATTACACTTCATGAAATCCATATGGTGTTCTAGGCAATGAAGTTATCTTGGGTATTCAAATGGATATCTTAGTTTTGCAATCCATTACAAAAAACCAGGTCAACATAGAAGAGAAAAGCAAACGGACCAAGATACTATAAGCCTGATAAAGGAACAATTGATATAGTATATGAATTGGTCCTCAATCAGCTGTGGGCTTCGGTACAGATTTTCCTAAGCCACTAGCATGTAAAGTAGCTGTCTGGATAGCACGAGCAATCGTACTCCTGACTTTTCCGTCTTCAAGAGCCAGAAGCCCAGCTATTGTGCAACCCGCAGGGGTGGTAACACTATCTTTGAGTGCAGCTGGATGTCGACCTGTTTGAAGTACCATCCGAGCAGCACCTTGCATAGCTAAAACGTATTCAAACATCAATTAGGATGATGTTTTTCTGGACCATGAGATCAAAACTCACTTTGAGCTGCTAGTTCAAGGGCTTCGGATCGTGGTAAACCCATCATCACTCCTCCATCAGCAATTGCTTCGAGAATGACCAGGGAAAAGGCCGGCCCAGAACCCGAAACAGCGGTACAAGCATCAAAATGTTTCTCATCAAGGAATCTACATCGACCGATTGGAGTGAAGAGTGATAAAAGAATGTTACGAGTTCGATGTGATTGAGGATCATTAGGCGGAAGAGACGATAAGACTGTCATCCCTTCTCGAATCTGTATTCCAAGGGATTGTCCGTCAACGCGTCAAAGATATGACTATGATTGTGAGGTAAGGCTTGGAATAGCAGTTTGGGAAGAGAAGCTGATCACACACACCTGACACGGCGTGTTAGGCATCGCCCGAACCACACTTGCGCTTTCAGGAAGCCATGACTTTAGCATCGAGATCGTAGTGCCCGCGAGAATAGAGATGAAAAGTTTATTGGCGCATGCTTCACGCATGCCTTCGGCTGCAAGTATATCTTGTGCGACTTGAGGTTTACATCTATCTATCAAATACGACTGATCAGTTAAAAAGAACACTTGATGATGACTTCAAAAATTCTATATGAATCGAAATAGACAAACGATAATAAGACCACATCCGATTCTTGAATACTTTTAACGTTTTCATTGATTCGAACTTCTACATCCTCATGACCCAGACTTTGCCATTGTTTCTTAAGTTTTTTAGCCGATTCAGAACGTGTGACACAAGTGATAAATCTATGAGGTTTAGTATCAGGATCTTCAGATGGAATCGGAGTCGAATCTCCTGATGAACTTGATGATTTGGTGATCGAATCAACTTGATGTAGGGATTCAAGTACACCAGAAACAATAGCTATACCCATAGTTCCACATCCTGAAGATAAATTGATCACAGAGCATAAAGTTTCAGTCAACTTGATTTTAGGAAATCACATTGACTCTGAGTGAAGCTGACCTAGAACACAAAGTGTATAAGGCATTTTGACGGGGTATCTTGTGTGTATATAGGCTGGCTTGAGTCACACGATTCTTCAATAGTCCACGAGATGGTTCTTTCAAACGATGTTAAGAATTTTGGTAAAGGAACTTTGTGTGTAATTTGTTTTGAAGGGTTTGATGTTGAGCTACAATTTCCGAATCCAAAATTCCCGACCACCGGCGACTGAAACTTCACTTCGATCGCAGCCGAAACTTGAGCCCCGAAACAACCTCCGCAGTTTCATGGCCCACCGGACGGGACAGCCTCAGAGTCAGCACCATTTCAAATTATGAGCCCTGCCTGATGATCATTTCGACTTGAACACATGAAGAAGCTGCAGGAGATCAAAAGACAAATCAAACTCAAGAGTCTGACTAGACGTCATTTTGAGCTCAATGAATTTTTTTGTTTGGGAAGATGAATAAAAGTATGTACATAAAAGGGAAAGGAAAAAAGATCCTGAACAAGCTGACATCCAACATAGACTATACATAGTTGGGTAAGAAAAAGTGTTGTATTTAATCAAATGAAGAAAATTTATCAAATATGACCATAAAGTCCTCCCACCAAAAGCCCGATATGCTTGTCCACAAGAAAAGTCAGACTCATGAGCCCCTCAATGCCTCGGCTACAAATTTCGAATGCAGAGGTTCGTGTGATATAAATTTGAAATTGAAATTGTAAGAGAGAAAGGAATTGGCATGTTGTACATACATAATTTGAAATTGAATTAAGGTTAAAAAGTGTTTGAAACTAAAAAAAACAAAGAAATCAAACCAACCAACTTGAAACTTGAAACTTATTGAAAAATTTTAATATCTCTTCAGAAACACTTTCATTTTCAACAAGAACAAGAACAAGAACAAGAACACATTCTCAAGTTTATCATCAGTAGTAGAACGAAGACAGATTGATTGGAAGAACCATCATCATGACTATCCAAGCATCGATCAAATCGAAAAACTCAACTAACCATAGTAGTAATCTGATCAAACGAACTAGGCACACTGATCAAGCAAGATTAAAGATGGTAAATCACTTTCATCATCTCTAATACTATCATTCTCATTCAAACTCACTCAAACTTTTCTTCTCATCAATAGTTGATCGATAACTTACAATTGAGATTAAATTATGCTAAACTCAAAGTTTCACATGGTTGGCATACTCATACATTCAATCAAGTCGAAACACTTTATTCAACTCGACTTCACCAACCCTCAACTTCTTCAACTTCTTCTTCATCATCCACTTCAACTTCTTCACCACCTACTATTAAATTAAAACAATCCAACTTCAATTTCAATCCATCATCTCAATCTAATTCACATTCACTTTCGAAATCAAATCAATCAAATCAAACCACTTTATTAGATTTAGCATTAACTAAATCTAAATCAAATCCATCAACACCACAACCATCATCATTCTCATCCCCATCATCATCATCACCATCAAATCATACCGAACCCTTCAATCAAATCCAACTAAACTTGAACCAAGATTTACATTCGTTCTTACTACCACATCATCAAGTCTCACCTAACCAATCCTTCTTTTCAAACTCGAATCAAATCTTTGGAACTCCCTTAACGAAATCCTCATCCCCACATCACCTAGAAACCCCTAATCCATTTAAATCCATCACTAGCACTGATCGTAAGATGAGCAAAAGCTTAATAAGTTTATTTCCAAACCTATTAAATAGCGAACAAACCAATCATCAAATGTCCGAGATCTGGAAACTCACCAACACAAACCCATTCAGTCCGATCACCTTCAACAAAAACTCATCCACCTCTTGCTCAAAAACTTTGAAAGACTTTGAATTAATCGAAACCCAAACTCCTATTACCAACAAATTCCATTCGATCAAACATTCTCATTCAAATGACTTTAATCTCACTTCTATCAGTCCTTTAAGGTTTTCATTAAACTCGTCAAAAAAATCGGGCTTGAGAAAGTCTTTGGGAAAAATTTCGGCTGGTGGATTGAACTTTACTTCTCAGGCCTTTCAGAATGTTGAAATTGAAGAGACTCAGGATCAGATTAGTTTAGATGATTTGGATTCGATTAATTGGACTTCTAAATAATTTAAATTTTCGATCTTTACCTTTTGATTCTTTGTCTCTTTTGGTCTATCATTGATTTTTCTTTTTTGCTTTTCGATTGTTTGTTTTGATCTGATTTTTTTTTATTTTTTTTTGTCTTTTGTTGGGTTTTAAAGGTTTTCTCTGGTCAGTTGGGTATTCTAAAAAATTTCTAGGTTTCTGCAATTTATGGGATTCTTTCTTTATTTATAATGTTACAAATTTTCATAATTTGATCCAAAAGTTTTTTTTTCTTTTTTTTTTTCTTTAGAAGATTGATAGTGAAGTTTTATTAAATATGAATTCACATTTTATGTATGAAAAAAAAACATTTTTTTGTTTGATGAAAAAATGATCAAGAATATAAAAAAAATCACACAATCCAAAGAAAACAAGTTAATAAATCAAAAAATCTGATTTTTTTTGAATGGATTTCAAAGTAAAGTAATTTGTTTATCAAGAAAAAGAATCCAATCTACACCACAGAGTAACTTTTTGTTAAAATACACCAACCAAAAAGGTAGTCATATCAAGCTCTGGCCAAACACTGGCCAAAATTTTAACATTTTGCAGGCCAGATCTTGGATGATCAGACTATGTATACTAGCTGATATCTGGTCAAAAGAAACCAGCCAATCACACTATCATTCACTCTAGCAAGACATCTACCAGTCTTTTGAGAAGCAGAAGATGGTGTAAAAGGATTTCTCTTCCAGGAACACCAAATTTGGAGATTGTGGAATTACTTAACTTGGTTTTTCACATTTGCCTCTATTGCCATAATTCTCACCATGTGTTTTTTGTTTTGACAACACAAGATCTCCTAGAAACCATTCTTTGATCTGGGAACTTTATGATCATCTTCAACTTTCATGCCTTGAGCCACATGCGGTGGATGGTGTGGCTATGGGAATGAACAAAGAGGTTTGCATGATCAGCTTTCCCAATGATTGGCAGTGTAAAAAGCTTGTTTGGAGACAGTCTGTAGGCCACCAAATGGCTCATCTTCTGGCGGTAAGGCAGTTTTTCCTGACAAACAACTGTTTGGAATACCCTGTGGTGTGAATGAAGAAGAGCAGATTTGAAGAAACAAAGAAAAGTTGATTTTTTAAATAAAAGAAAGGATTTGAATAATTTTCAAGAGGAAAAAATCATTGAAACAACAAAGAGTGTAAAATCAAGAATGAAAAAGTAAAGAAAAACTCCATATAGGCTAGTTGAACTTGATGGCTAAAGTCAATTTACAGAGATTTCCAAAAACACCAGAAGGCTCATGAAGCCTTCTGGAAAATGTTTTCTGGAGATCTACAGAATGCTATTTGTGTATTTACCCTATAATATGTACATCCGATTATATAATGACAACCTTTCTGTGTCCATTTCAATCGTGTTACAGGCCAAGGATTTTTTTCTTCAAGACTGCACTTTGATATCCATCCACTTTCTCTGCTCCAGAGTTCTATGTGGTCTCATTGAAGGTATGATACAGAATATTGGAAAATACTTGGTCAGTTTTATTGAGGTAGCTGTGGTCTTGTGCTTATCGCTCCTCCAATCTTTGATCAAATATCACTTTTCTCTTAACTCACAACTCACGGCTCAGAGAGTTGATGACCCTCTCTATGAGAATTTGAGGGATGAAGGTTTGTCATGACAATACCAAAGATTGATTAGATCCCAGTCGGAGATCTAGCTGAGATTATACAATGCAAAGATTCTTCACACTAAAAACCAACAATGTTGCAATCAAAGATCTCAATTTTGTATAAAAATATTTTGGCAAGTCATTTGGATTCTCTTTGTGAAGCGTATCAACACACATATCTCTTGGAATTATAGAGAATGGACATATGAGTAGATATGAAGAAGATAATGGAAAGAAAGGAGGAAAAGATCCAACCTTGCTCAGCGGGATGGCCAAGCAGTATGTTTGGCAATTTGTTTGAATTATCTTTGCGAGGCGTAGGAACACACATCTATTGGATTTGGACAGAATCGACAGATACGTAGATACGAAGAACATGAATGAAATGAGTAAGGTTTTAGATGAAAATCCCGCAAAATCAATTTCAACCGTGTATTCCGAAGCCCGCATTTCAAACAAGTATAACAAGGTCTTATAAAGAACATTAAGGACTATAATTTCTAACAGTAATGATGATAATAAGAATAGGAGCTTGCACCAAGAGTATCCAAATTGAACCTTGGAGAACATCAACCACTAGAAAGAAGGAAGTTGAAATGGCAGATCCAATAAGATGGAAAAGGTGATAATTGTCCAAGCTGTGATATGATTCAAACTGATGAGACGAACACTACTAAAAAACCTAAAGTTGTGAAAAAAAGCCCCTACAATGAAAACCAATCTAACCGTGTATCAAGAATCCCAAACTAAAACTAACATTAAAAGCTATAGTAATAATAATAAGATCAATAACCATATTTATCCTGAAATACTCCTTCAACGATATCGGTGACTAGAAGAAGGGTAGTTAGAGGGAGGAGGGCGTCTATAAGAAGAGGAAGTTTGATGATTTAAAGCATGATTTCCTAACATATTTCCTTCCTCATCAGAATCTACATAAGCATTATAATCAATCGCACCTCTTCCATATCTTTGATTTCCAGAAGCCTCTTCCCGATATCTTGATTGAAGTGATGATTGAAGATTTCGAGTGATGGTCTGAGGTTGTCTTCTTGAAAGAGTTTGATCAACCTGATGATGGTGAGTAGGGCGGTAACCATTCTCAAATAAAACTGCATCACGACGTCGAGGAGGAGGAGGAAGACCATTTTCCAACAAGACTCCATCACGTCTTCGGGATCGTCTACAGAATGATTGATCAGACTCCATGGAATTGGATTGAGAAGTGAAAGGAACACCCTGAGGGACAGTGTAATAAGCGATATTCTGATGAGCAGTAGCGGAAGGAGAAGCATAGTAATCATCATAGAAAGCATTCTGACGAGGACGGTTAGCTTGAGAAGGGTGTAATGGAGAACGAGATACCTCTAAGTCTTCTTCGTTGTAAGCAATACCACGGCAGGCAAAGGACTCCCCCGAGTTAGAAGATCGAGCTGGGTGAGATCGCCATTGAGAAGGAGGGTGTTCGTAGAGACCGCGACAAGCGAAAGAAGAATCAGAGTCTCTAGAGGGGGAAGGACGATCACGACGGAAGAAATTGAAACGGTTGTGACTACTCATAGTGGAATAGACAGAAGCTTCAAGTGAAAAGGGATATGGAAAGGGGAAAAGGGTTGGTCGAGTGTGATGAAAGACGTGGTTGAGGTTGGAAAGAGATGACTCTTGGTTTCAACGTTGAACCAAATTTCATACAGAGAGGACGAGATCAGCACTTCCTCAGTACAAAGATACTGATGAAGTGTACATTTTGATCACATTTCTTAAAATGCGTATAGGCGTATACAAATGCTTTAAAAGAGACGTGTATAACAATTTTTAATGCTCAACATTATTCAGTAACACGCCGGGGGCAGTTTTGTATCTTTTACTTTGTACTGATTTCTCATACTCGATTTGGTCGAGTACGCGACAAAAAGTCAACAAATGCCTCTGAACTTTATGCTTTATCTGATGGTTATATCTTGTCAAAAAATGAATATCTTCAGTAGAGAAATGCTCTTGTTCTCAAAACTTTGTTTTGATTGTTTATAGACTTCTTTATTGGATCACGCTCATCCGCTCTCCCAAGATTCTTCGCAGTATTTCTTACTATGTACTGATTTATCATAGTAATTTAATCGAATACGCGACGAAAGGTAAACAAATGCCTCTGAGATTTATGCTTTAGCTGATGGTTATATCTTGTCAGTAGAGAAATGCTCAGATGTTCTTAAGACATTATTTTGATTGTTTATAGACTTCTTTGTTGGATCACGCTCATCCGCTCTCCCAAGATTCTTCGCAGACACTGCTTTGCTGGGATACATCAACAATTTTCAGCTTCTTTCAGTGAATGTCTCAGTGGTCAGTAATTTATGTGACACCTTTTCAAGAAGACGCGTTTTTCTGCATATATTTAGTGAGGTCTGAAGACTTTATGCTTCCTCTCATCTTTCGAAATCGTGATGAGGGTCTTTTCCCGATGTTAGTTGTTCGCTTGTCACTTTTATTTTACCTCTATGAGAACTTGTTGCCCGAGGAAACCGTGTTATTAGGATATATACGAGAGGCATAGGCTTTTTCCACTCGAGGTCAAGTTCGTCCGCTACAATATGTTATGATTACAAGAAGTTGTCCAATGACATATGTGCGATGTGTATGCCCGCTTCAAAACCTATGGTATCCATGAAGCAGATGGAAATTCACAATCAAATTGCGCTGGCGTGTATACGATCATTTGCTCTCAAAACCAACATCGCTCAATACGACTGTCCCATTGTCGGAAGACATCCAAGCACTAAATTTTATCATCTCAATATGTGTCAAAGTAGCCTGCCCAATGCATTTCTTTCATAAGGAAGTCCTTCCATAGACTTTCTGGGATAAGAATGTCAAATTCCTCAACCTCAATGGTTGTGAAGCATATAAATCATGATTGGGGGTCTTTTCCGCCTTACAATCAATCATTCAAGTTCCCTGTTTCTCAGGGAATGTTTCCCCAAATTGATGTGATTGCTGGAATGCGCGCGAGACCGCTGAGTTAAACTTACACCTTCAATATGTCAACGGAGTGTATCATATATTAGAGTATTGACATTTCTACGAGCTCATGCTCACGACACTCAAGTCTTTCAATAAACACATTTCGACCTAGCGCATTGTGATGATGCACATCAATACGTTATTTGAGTCTGTGACTTTGTCTTTTGTTATCTAACTCGAACATCTCTAATATCTTCAAGATACCTCTCATCAGATTGATATCATTCTCAACGGGTTTTCACCTCACGGCAAATCTTTTCCACAAGTACCAGAATTTTTAAGCCTCGATGTGGATATTGATGAATTTTATTGCCTAAACAAACGCTGCATATGTCGCAAACTAACGTACAACCTGATCTGCATTGATCCCAAGCCATATGGCGCGTCATAGGCCACAATCGATGCACATCAAAAGCTCGTGAATCCGTAAATTGGGTTGTTCAGTGAGGATGAAGTTTGTATTATCAACAACTTTGGGTTCATGATGATTCAGTTGGTCCTCTAGTCCAACGCTTTGAGGATTTCTCTCTTTCGAATGTTTTATCGCAATGAAATGCCCATTGACGGGATCCTGATAAAATTTCATACAAGTCACATTCGTTTCCCGATCACCATCATCTTGGGGCTCAAAACTGAACATCGATCGCTTTGACTGTTTGAAGAATTGATGCATATCTCCCAAAACGAGGTATATTTCTCTGTGTTTGACCCTCCAGGACGGTTCGCATGCGATAGGATACAAGTATCTCTAAGTTTCTGGTCGTACATATTCGATCTTTGATCAATGTGAAGCCGAATTAGTTACTCTTGTCCAGTAGCGCATTGCGATGTAGTGTACGTCAACTTATTTGGAATTAGAAAAACAAGAAAGAAAAGCAACTGATTGACTGATCAGTTACTTTTCTTTATTCGAGATGGATGCGAAATATGCAGGTCACGAGTTGAATTTGAAGTTTTTTGAAGTTAAAAACCGTGTGCGATGCGAAAAGTTCACCAAGGTTTTTTGAAGAAGGTCAACAACCACTGACCAGGAGGAGCGGACCAGCGCAATTGCGGCCTCGCTCGATGCCCCGAGTTTTGGTTGCAGAGGAATGAGTATGAGTGGTAAACTGTAAACTCGATCGATCAAATTGAAGTTTCAATCTCAACTGAATCCTATCCTATCACAAACGATTCGAAACTACAAATAAATCAGCATCATGGTCAGTAAAACCAATCTCAAGTCCCAAACCATCAGAAATCATTAACTTCACTTCGAGTTATTTTATAGGTCACCACTACCACCAATGGAAATCCATCTTCAAATAAATCAATCGATATTAAAAATGATGATAATCTTAAAAAAACAAGTTCTTTAAAAAGTTTTATTTCAGGTAAACCAACTCTTTCTGTTCCATATCCAAATCTAAGATGTAATGAATCAATGTGTTAGTAAATGGAAAAAGAACTAATGTGATTTTTCGGATTCGATTTCCTTTGACAAACTTTGAAGGTGGATTTGGTGGGATCTGTTCTGTTTTAGTTGGTAATCTATTCCCCCGATTTTCTTCTTTTTTCGCAAAGAATCAAATTCTTTGACTCATGGTTCGATTATCATTTTTTTGAGATTAGGTCAACCTTTTGATCTAACCAAGACAAGATTACAAACCGCTCCTCCTGGTCAATATACTGGAGCGATGGATGTAGTTCGAAAAACGATTGCACGTGATGGGTTTCTTGGGTACATATGTGTTTCTCTTAATCTATCCCAAAAGAAACCAAGCTTTTTAAACTTCTCATCTTGAGCTTACATCATCGGGGGTTTTTTTAGGTTTTATCGTGGAATGAGTAGTCCTTTAATCGGAGTCACTCCAATGTTTGCCGTCTCATTTTGGGTAAGAATCTCATCATTCAAAACTTGATGTTCTGATTCATACAAAACAAAATCCACTGAATTCAACTCGATGTTTCTTATCTGATTCTTATCTAACAATCTTTTTTTTCTTGCATTTCTATAGGGTTATGCAATGGGAAAGAAATTAGTTTATTCTTTTACACCTCAAAGAACTTCAACAGATTTAAGTTATAGTGAATACGCCATTGCAGGAGGTTTTAGTGCCTTACCTACTACACTGGTAGCAGCTCCGATGGAAAGAATCAAAGTTTTACTTCAAGTAAGTGGCCGTGTTCTTTCGAACCACCATGGTGGATTCTAGAATTGAAATCTCAAATGTGGAACTTGATTGAACTTGGTTCGATTTCTTTAGGTAGATGGTCAAAGTACTTTACAAAAGTATTCTGGACCTATGGATTGTGTTAAACAAGTTTATAAAGAAGGAGGTTTAAAGAGTCTTTTTCGAGGATCGTGAGTTTTTTTTCACACTTTTTAAAACAGATCACATCATTATCACACCTCTAATGATTTGAATCAATCGCCTTTTTTTTAAAAAAAGTATGGCAACTGTAGCAAGAGATGCACCAGGTAGTGCAGCGTAAGTAAACCAAATCATCCTCAATTCTTTCGTTTTCAAATCGAATATCTGATTCGAGGTTCAAACTTTATAGATATTTTGTTGCATATGAATCTGCTAAAAGAGCTTTAACTCCCAAAGGATCCGATCCAAATCAATTAAACCTAACTACGATTTGTGCAGCAGGAGGTAAATTATTAGAAACCTTTCACTCAAGCTCTTTTTCATCAATTCAATTTGATCATCAACTCTAACATTTGTGTGAATGGTTTGATTGGTGTTTAGGTTTTGCTGGAATCGCAATGTGGTCAATTGCCATCCCACCCGACGTAAATCCAATTTCTCCCATTCTTAAACCCAATCCAAAGCTCTCCCAGAACCGCAAATCGAATTGACCCCTTCCGTGAATGAAATGTTTATCATAGGTAATCAAATCAAGATTACAAGCAGCACCTACAGGAACATATAAAGGTTTCTTAGATTGTATTCAGATCACCATTAAACAAGACGGAATGAAAGCTTTGTTTAAAGGATTTGGACCTGCGATGGTTCGAGCTATTCCGGCTAATGCGGCTACTTTCTTAGGTGTTGAATTAGCTTTGATGACTTTGAATAAGTTGAGTCAGGTTTGATTCATTTGAGTTTTTTTCTCTCTTGGAAGGTTCTTTAACTGATTTTGTTTTTTGCATGGGGTTTTTGTTTAGGGTTGTTTGATTTGATTGAATGGTTTTTGGGAAAGACTTTTTATAATATAGATATGTAGAAGAATGAAAAGGAGTTTTTTTCATAGGGGTTTAAGATGATGAGGATTCTAATTAGCAATCTTAAACATTTGTATGTATGTATTTCATAATTAAACAAATGAAGAAATCTTGAAAAAAAAGCAAAGAAATGTATGGTTTGATGATCTTTTTTGTATTTTTTGGGGGGCTGATGGTGGGGGTGTCAATTGTAGTGTAGTGGTATGTAAATGACAAGTTTAGCAAATTTATTGTTCTTTTAATTCTTGTACAAAAATATATGGTTTGATCATGAGATTAGGTTACATGATTGGTTTAGATAGAAATAATTTGAGATTTTGAAAACTTTGAATTCTGATCATCATATTCTGATTAAATAAGTAGAACTTTTTTGCTAATTGAATGTGTATTCAGATGAGGTGAGATGAGGTTTGAGAATTGATACAACAAGATGGAAGAGTGGGAATTAATTATCATCAACTTTGGAAATCAAGTTAGAATGTGTAAGACACACAAAGATAAGATGAAGATGTATCACTTTGCAGGCTCAGCTTGGACAAACAAGTATAAGTGAAAAAGTAATTGCATTCAAAAAGATCTAAAGCAACTATAACACCGGTAAATAAAGGATTTTAGAGAGCGTATGTATACATTGTGATTTATGAAAAGTTTGTAGAAGTCAAGACAGAAAGTCATGAATGGTAATGAAGATTAGAAAGAAAATCAAAAGTTTTCATCGTGAAGTGAAAAGAGATTGAGAAGTGAAAAGAAAAGAAATCCAAATTGAGTCAAGAAGGTAAACAGCTATGATGTCATTCTCATCAGTTTCACAACTCAAACCAAATCACACTCGGCTTCAGAAAATCAGGATTACAAAGTAAAGAGTAAGTACCGAGTTGAAACTCAAACAAAGAATGATCTAAAAGTTTGTTGATTTTACCACCAAGATCTGTTTAATAATCCATCAGAGACATCCATCATGATCAAGTTGACTAATGAACGGGACAAAGAAGAAGAAGAAGAAGTTCATAAATGAAATCCTTTAACACACTTCAAAAATACATAGGTCAAAAGAGTGATCATGCGAATTTGTAAATTAATCATTCAAATCAAGAACGTGTTTTGAAGAACGTTCTTGACAAAAAAATCATTATAAAACAATCCACTTTCGATTCCACCATCTTCCATCATCTCTTTCTTTAACTTTCATCCCTTTTGAATCATCAATCAATATAGACTTTACAGATCCTTCAAGTGATTTTATAGAATCAAAGAAAACAATCCAAGATCCGTAAGTGGTGTTGACCATCTTTCATTTCCACTTCAACTCCTTTTGATTCCACATTTCAATCTTTTCCAAATTTCTTTTCTTTTCCTTGCAATTCTTTCAAAACATGATATCTCCCATACACTGCCTCCTCTCCTGAGTTCTTTTAATACCTGTGGAGTTCATTTTGATTGATTTGAGTTCGACTTTCATTCCTCGGCGTAAGTTTGTTTGATTTGGTTTGAAGTTTCTTGCTTTTTTGAATGGATGAAGAGATTACGAATGAATGAGTTTGAATCGATCATGAAGTTCTGATTTGAGTTGATGATACACCTCATTGGTAAAATAGCGTCATGTGGGTGTGATGGATTCTATTATGTATGCGCCTCACACTTTACACTTATCTTAAAATAGTTTAAATTGACACTTTCTCACATAATCAAATTCAAATTAAAAATTAAACTTGAACTCTTGTTTAATTCATTTTCTGATGTTTGACAACTACAATTCAATCAACTTCAGATCATCCTGTGCTTAAGTTTATCTTTTTAGAACTTAAACCTCTTCCTCGACGACCCTCTTTCTTTTTCCTCTTCAAAACCATCCTCGGTCGTCACTTGATTCCTCGTCTCGACTTGATTTGGAAAATTTGAATCCTCCCAAAAGCTCACTATACCCCATTTTGAAGCTAGTAGTAGTAGTAGTAAACCTCAAACCCGAACTAGTTTAGAATCACTTACCCAATTCTTCTCTTTCCTTCTTGCTTCTTATTTTTTTTGGAACAAATATCCGATTCCCAACGGTTTTTCATCTTACCTACAAATCAGATTGAAAAACAATACCAGATTATCATTTGACAAGAAGAAAACCAAATACACGAATACATACTTAGATCATGGACCCTATCGCTGTCACTCCTCCACCTAAGACAATATCAGATTTCGATCATCCTATGACTAAATCAGATCAACCTCAAGATCGTCAAGTTGATTTAGGTGAAAGACGTAGAGCTGCTCTGGCTGAGATTGATAATGCTCGATTCGGTTGGTTTCACGTTCGAGCTGTACTTGTCTCAGGTGTTGGTTTCTTTACAGATGCTTATGATATGTGAGTCTTTGAACGTTCTTTTCATTCTAATCGTGCTTCAATTTTTCAAGTTTTGACTGATGAAGTTTTTTGGTTTGATAGATTTGCCATCAATTTGGCTAGTACTATGTTAGGATACGTTTTACATAATGGCGGTTCACTTAGTGCGAATCAAGATTTAGGTATCAAGGTGGCTACTCCTGTTGGAACGTTTTGTGGTCAACTTCTCTTTGGTTGGCTTGCTGATGTTTATGGTAGAAAAAGGATGTATGGAATCGGTAAGTCGGGTTTTCAAAGGACAGTTCAATATTGATGTTTTTGGGACCAATCGGGTATTACTTTGTTGAGATTAATTCATGTCGTTTTTGTTGGTTTGTTTGTAGAATTGATGATCATTATTATCTCTACACTTGGTCAAGCTGTCACTGGTTCTGGACATGCGATCAGTTTGATCGGTGTATTGATAATGTGGAGGTAAGTCAACTCGAATCCACTTCACCTCATAGGCTTTAGTATTTTAGTATACACGTGATTGATCTTTTTCTCTCTACGCGCGTCGTGTTTCATCAGATTTTTCATGGGATTAGGTATTGGAGGTGATTACCCTCTATCAGCATGTATCACATCTGAATTTGCTGCTGTTAGAATTCGTGGTCGGATGATGACTGCGGTGTTTGCGTCTCAGGGTAAGAGATTCATTTGAATTCAACATTGTATATATCTTGACTCTTACACGTCTCACTTCTTTCTTTCACAGGATTTGGTCAACTCACCGCTTCATTGGTATCACTTGTAGTCGTTAAAGCTTATCACTCCGCTATTATAAATGATGCATCTCCGGGTGTCTCTGTGGATGGATGTTGGAGGTTACTCATCGGTCTTGGTGCTGTACCAGGTGCAATTGCATTGTATTTCCGTCTTACCATTCCTGAAACACCTCGATTCACAATGGACATTGAAAGAGATGTGAAAGGTGCTGCTGGTGATGTTGACGCATTTTTATCAACTGGTGGTTATGCTCATGTTCGTTTCTATCATTTCTCGCACTCTTTACCTAAGCAAACATCTGACCCTTGACCAAAATAATTCATCTTGACACGTGTTTCAATAAATAGGATTACGAAAATAGAAAGGAAGAACAAGCCGATGTTCCAACAGCTTCTTCAAGAGATTTCCTTCATCACTATTCACACTGGAAGAATTTCAAAGTCCTTTTTGGTTGTGCTTGGTCATGGTTCGCACTTGATATAGCGTTCTATGTGAGTTGAAGTTCTTTACATTCAAGCAGTTCCCCTCAGCTTCCTGACATGCGACTCAAATTTTTAGGGACTCGGTTTGAACTCTTCGATTGTATTGACCGCCATCGGTTTTGGAAGCGTCAGTACGGGTTCAGCAAATGAAAAAATCTATAGCACCCTCATCAATATCTCCGTCGGAAACATCATCTTATCATTGGCTGGACTTATCCCTGGTTACTGGGCCACATGTATGTTTTTGTCCTTTCCAATCCAACATCGAACCCGTGCTGTGATCTGAGTGTTTTTCTCTCATGTAGTCGCCTTCATTGATAAATGGGGTCGTAAACCAATCCAAATCATGGGTTTCTCTGCCCTTACTGTATTATTCATTGTGATGGTATGTCGCTCAATGCTCAATCTGATGATGATGATAATTGATAATCTTTGATTTCTTGTGCGCGTATCAAAACTGGCAGGGAGTAGCTTATCATTCCCTGATCGCAAATGCTTTGCCGGTTTTCATCGTCCTCTATTGTTTTGCCAACTTTTTCCAAAACTTTGGACCCAACACGTTAGCATCTCTTATATTACAGCCCTTCGACCGTGATCACTAACATGAGTGCTTGTTTCTACATAGGACCACATTTGTGATTCCAGGAGAATGTTTTCCTACACGTTATCGATCCACATCTCATGGAATTTCAGCTGCATCTGGGAAATTAGGAGCTATTGTGGCTCAAGTTGGGTTTGCTAGACTTAAAGATATTGGAGGCAAAGATCAATTTATAGACCAGTTCGTTCAAATTTTCGGATTTATCTTTGGTTGATTCGTCTGGTTGGCTTGTACTGATTGATTGAAACTTTCCTGATTTTAGCATCTTTGAAATCTTTGCTGCATTTATGTTTACTGGTTTACTTACATCTTTCTTAGTACCTGAAACTAAAGGAAAGACATTAGAAGAACTTTGTTGAGTGATGGTTTCCTCTTTCCTTTTCACTGCTTGCTTTAGTCCCATTGTTCCAGTATGACTGTATCTTATCTGGTGTGCTTACATGATTTTGTTTTGATTTTATTCAGCTGGAGAAGACCAAGGTCAATTTGTCAGAAGCGAAGCAAATGATCAAGCTTCTTAGTTGATTATCACCTAGTTGGGTTGCAGGCTACAGCTCTACATTTTTTTTAATCTTTGATTTTTTTTCATTCTTCTCAATGACTCTTCCTAGTGTTTGATAAGTTAAATTTGCACAGAGAACGAAAAGAAGAAAAACCAAAATTTGAAAAAAGTATGATTTCTTTTAGCATTTTCTTTATACATGCTTTTTTTGTTGTTTTTGGTTTTGGTTTTGTTTGTAAATTGGTACAAGATGATTTTGTTTCTTTTTCCTTTTGTTTGGTTGATCACTGTTTGCTTGAAGGTTGGTTTTTTGAATTTACTTTTTTGAGATTTATTATGGTTAAATAGTACAGATTTAGAAAGTTTAGAGAAACGTACAGTCTTAAGTTGATTGTTTTGTGAATATGTTCTTCTTTTTTTTATTTCAAAGTCTTGGTTTTCTTTTTGTTGAAGGGTTTGTGTGGGTTTGTTGTGTGTGGGTGGGTGTTTAAAGTGAAGTTGTGTTTGGGTGTGTTTGGTTTACTTGGGACTTATTGGATTTTTTTAACGAAATATATATCACAGGTTTTGGTTTTAATTGATCTTTAAAGTTATGGAAAACTTTCATAAGACTACCCTTTTAAAACAAGACAATTAGAAAAGGGGAACTTCTGTTGAATTGAGTACTGATCAGTATCAATAGTATCAGTAGAGAAATATATCATCATTGACTTTCAAAAAACCAAGAGCACGAGTTTTAAATGAAATAGCAACTGTTTTTAATTGTCTCTCAACACTTATAGTGTTATTCCAATCTGATAAGTGAGAGAAAAAAGCACAATATCTTTTTGATATTATTCCCAAAAGATTTTATAAGTCACAACACTTCAACACTAAAGTAAATTTCTCTTTATTTCTCTTCTTAAATCTGGATTCCCCCCCCAAAAGCCTTATACCCAGTCAGCATTGCTGGTGAATAAGCCTTGGGACAATTGAACACCAGATCCTCTCGGCTTCCCACTTACAACTCACTTGCGTGTAGCCATGGGTAGCATTGAATGATGTGGATTCATCAGCTGAGTTCCAAGCGGTATTTATACTATTGTCTGTGCACCACCTGTATTGTTTCCCAAAAAGCAACTTACAAGTAAAAGCCCTATTCTGTGCTTTTTGAATCATGTTCTTTTGAAGTCCACTCACAACATGTATGTTAGTTGCTTTCTTAATAGCATCCCCCCTCAAAGTATACACGCTACACCACCATCCATTGTATTGTACAACAATTCTTTTATTCCAATCTCCTTCCCCTGCAAATTTCACAAAAAACTGTGTTTCCTGTGTGCACTCCACATGCTTTATCAATCCTATGTGCTTTTCAAAAACACAAAGTGCTGTGCCTATGTATGTCACCCGCTTTGCTCAGCGCATTGTCTCCCAAAAAGCATATATTGTAGAAAGCACTATCCCCTGCTCAATTACTTGCACCCTATTGAGATCAAGGTGTCATGTGTATGTTACATGCTTGTTTAATAGCACACAGATCATGTAAGCCGGGTTGCTAAAAGTGAAGGCCACTTAAATTGGTGGGAACAAGTAGCTTTGCATCAATCTTGGAATCAAGCTTAACTAAGCCTCAACCTGGCCAGAATCACAGGTTCCAACACTTGGCATGTACCTACAGATTGAGTTACAATGTAGTGTTGGATACAGATTCTGTGTCCCTTGAAGGTATGTGCCTCTTACATTCCTATGTAGTGTAGCACCAAGGTCTTTCACTATAGGCCTTAAGTTTGATGGGGTTTTTTGAGTGCGCAGGCGGGCCCGCTTATGCCCTAGTAGCTATAAAAAAGAGTGTATTTAAGTGAGCAGGTACTATTAAAATAAGTTTATAATGATAAACAAAATGATGATGTTGTATATGATAGAGAAAAAAGGGGAACAACAACCAAAACCCACATTCTGATACTCTATAACTTCAATTACAATATTTGAATAAAGGTCAACAGCCTCAAAATCTATCAAAATACCTCAAAGTCCCTCTGATTCAATCTTATGATGAGGTTATTACTAATGAATGACATGATTTAAGCTTTGAAATTGATCAATTGATGTATATAAACAATGGACAGATCTTCTTATGATGAATACAGTTGAGTTTTCCTTATATTTATAGCTGAAAAGCAATTTTAGAATTTTGAGTTTTTTCTAATGTGCTCCAAGTTTTGATTACTATAGCTCATCTTGTAAATCTCATGATTCTCATCAATATGTGGCATATCATGACCTATTTCCAATCTTTGATGAATAGTTAATGAGCTGTAAAGATTGATAAAATAAGCTTGCTTTCTGTGTTGTAAATACATGTGTGTATGTAAGCGCAAACATCAAAATCCACGCCATTTGCTTTGATTCCTTACAATGTTTTCACAAATCCTCAGTTACTGGTGGTTTATAGGTTGTACATTTTGAAATAAAACCTTCTGTGTCATTTGAGCTATCATCCATCCTGATCTGACAAGTGTTGACACATGTAATTAGCTGAAAACCTCCATTTTTGACAGCTTTAACTTCTTTTCATGTCTATCACTAATTTCTCTTCATCATTGGATCATTTTTGATCAATCACTTTGTAATAATAACTTTAACAATCACTCTCAAACTCTTATCAACCATTAAATCCCTCAAATCAACCATTACATACAAATTAACCCTGTAGTACCCTTGTTTACCAACCTCAAATTTCCCTCTTGTCAGCTCTGAGCCCGGTGCACAGGATCACAGACTAACAAACACACATGGAGACATTTGAAATACATACAGGGATGCAGGAATGAGTACCAAGTATGAGTAAATACAGGTATATACTCAACTGATACTCACTTTGTACCGGTTTACAGGGCCACAAATAGGCAAAAATACTCACTTTACTGAGTAAACTCATACTCACTCCTGCATCCCTGAATACATATGTAAATGTATTTAAGCTGTTTAAAACCATAAAGATTACACCTCATGGCTCAGTATCAAGAGTCATTTAAGTAAGAAGACTTACTATAACTTAAATAATAATGGTAAACCTAACCCAAACCTATCCCAAAGAAGAAGCAAACCTGGGTGCCAACCACAAGTCAACACCTGGGTCTAGAATATATAAACCTCTCTTCTTCCCACTCTGGAAGAAAAAACTCAACTTATTATCATTCCAAAACTCTTCATCACATCTTACTTGACTCTTCACCAAGAATATTGAATATAGTGATATGCATTGTTGTGTCTTGATTATCCTAGTTCTACTTTTATTCAGGTTGTTGTAAGACCTCAGGTGGTGTTCTGAGCTGATTGGATTAATAGTTAATAGACCAAGCTTGGAATTTACAAAGGGTTCCTCTTCAAAAAAGTCTAAAGTACCCCGCAACACCTCTGAATCCTCAGAGTCTAAAGTACTACAGGCTCCAGAGTTGTAAGATCAACCAGAGCTCTAAGTAAGATCCTTAAAGGGATTACTAAGCCATCCCACTGGCTATAAATCCTCTCCTCAGAGGTCAACTAACTACAGTATTCACTTGGGTGTACCAGTGAAGACTTCCTCCTAGTCCGTACTTACTACCTTTTTTAGTGAAGAGTCAGCCAGAAAGTAGCTGACAACTCACACCTCTTTCTTGTACAACTTTACTCCTCCCTTATCAATCCCCATGATAATGATTGTTTCTGACAAATATGATCACTCTCTTTCAGACTATAACCTTCTTGAACCTTACAACTGACAATCAATACCCTAAAACCCATTTTCCAACTTGATATACCTATATTTTCAACTTTTTTATGTATGCATTTATTTTTATTCTTGCTGATTATAATCTGATGAATAAAATTGAATAAACTGGATGTAAATAAATGAAGACTATGTAAGAATTATTGATAATGAAACTAAAATACTCTCACAAAAATATGAAAAACACAACTTTTGCACTAAAACTCTCAAGTTGATTGATGATATGATAAATTTTTGATGTTTCTTGATTACTCCTATAAATTGATCACCACCTCGTTGAGGCCCTCAAGAGTACAAAGGCTGCAGAGGCTCTGCTATAAATTGTAGAGGTCATAACACGTGGCAAAACTGCTCCAAAACTGCTCAGAAACCACTATTTGGACAGGTACAGTTTGGGTATTGGTGGAGATCCAATGGGATTCATCCTAGAGAGTGTAATTATGTATTTGGATATGAACCTCTTGACTCATATGTAGATTTTCAAATCTCATAAAATATATGTCTGGATTCAGGGTCCAGGGTCCAGATTCACATATTATTGAATTTTTCCATGAAGTATCATGGTACTGGATTTTTTGTCAACAAGCATAAATGAAGGGTACTGATGTGTTTTCATAATCAGGATAGACACAACCATGAGACTTTGATTCTGGGTTCAATTCACAATATATTGAAAATAAATCATCAAATTTGACTGGTTAACAATAATTCTTGATTAACTTTGAAATATTCAAATAAGACCATATGGTAGATAATCATATGACACTACACAAAATATAATATTTTCTGGGCAGAAAATTAAATTATTGATACACAAAAATATTGAGAGGCCAGGAGAAGGGCAAAAAATAAATAAAAATATGCATCTTGTTCCCTGCGGTGAGAGCTTCACTCTCCATATTTTTCCATATTTTTACAGTCCGTATTGATAAGAAACACTCGATTTTAAGTGCATTAGAAAGCTGAACTCTTCCTCTCAAACTTTCATAAGGTCAAGAACTATGTAGCTAGTATGACAATCATTCTATGGATCTGTATGTACAAATGTACAAAAAAGATTATATCTTTTTTAGCAGACCAGCATGCTGTGTGGTCCTATTATGAACTATTTGGAGGACAATTCCAGCTTACCAATGCACCCAAAATCGAGCGTTTTGGACCGGAATTGAAAAAGTTATGAGTATTTTCAGAAATCAAAAGTTTCTCTAAACACTAATGAGCCAAATCTCAGTGCTTGTTACAGGTTGTAATTGGATGATTGTGAAGGTTTATTGTTAGTACACTTATCAATACGGACTGTAAAAATATGGAAAAATATGGAGAGTGAAGCTCTCACCGCAGGGAACAAGATGCATATTTTTATTTATTTTTTGCCCTTCTCCTGGCCTCTCAATATTTTTGTGTATCAATAATTTAATTTTCTGCCCAGAAAATATTATCTTTCTTGTAGTGTGAAGGTGTTGAGATTGTGGATTGGTCAACTCTTGATAAGGTATTTATCAAGATGTGGGATATTGAGATGTGACATAAGGCACAGAACTCATGCATTGTTTTACCTACAGTGGTTCAAGATTCCTTTGGCTTGTTTGACATGTGGTTTTTTTTTCCAAAACTGTTCCAAAACCAATTTTGGACCAAATTTTCAAATTTGAATTGTCCAATAGGGCAGTTCAAGTTTGAAGAAGCACTAAAACACAACTGTGCCTACAGCAAGATGCTGCTTACAATTGTTGAAATTTTGAAAAACTCTGAGAAAGCCCTACCTGAGGAGCACATGTATGTCCAAACAAAAGTTGGAATTGTCAAATATTACAGCAGATGGAG